TTCCTTCCTTCCTTCCTTCTTTCCTTCCCTCCATCCCTCTTTCTTTTATTCAACAAGTAACATAATACACTGTATATCTAACCTTCATTGATTATCCCAATGAGTTCCACACTATCCAGACTGGAGAAAAACCCCAGCTCTTCCATTGAACCAAATCCAATGTACAATGGACGTTCTTGTTGCTTGGCGAGGTTTGAGAGGAATTCTGGCAAAGGAATGCTTGGGGATTGGAAGGCAGGGCACAAGACTGTAACACCATCCAAGCTGGGGTATGGGTCATCAGTGAACCAGTATCCACATACAGTCACACTGACGAGGAAAGGTTTGATCTTTTATGTCTATTGCTTTGAGTATGTCATTGTTGGTTTGCCTCTTCCACTTGCATGTGAGCAATAAAATACACTGTCCACTCCCACCCCCACCCCAACGAGATGTTTTACAAAGACTCCTTTGGAGGTACTTGGTACAGTAATACACTGACTCCTCCTCTCTCTGGGGAGATGATTGCACAGCTATACATTGGCTACCCCTCTCCCAGGGGAGGTACTTTGTACAGTAATGCACTGACTCCCCCTGTCCCCATGTGAAGGTATTTTGCACAACTATACATTGGATCTCCCTCTCCCAGGGGAGGTACTTTGTACAGTAATACCCTGACTCCCCCTGTCCCCATGTGATGGTATTTTGCACAACTATACATTGGATCTCCCTCTCCCAGGGGAGGTACTTTGTAAGTAATACCCTGACTCTCCCTCCTCTCTCTGGGGAGATATTTTGCACAACTATACATTGGTTCCCCCTCTCCCAGGGGAGATATTTTGCACAGCTATACATTGGCTCCCCCTCCTCCTTGGGAAGGTATTTTGCATAGTGATGCACTTGATCTCCCTGCTCCTAAAGCTTACTTTGCATAGCAATACACAGTGGGCCTTCCCCTCTCCAATAGAAGGAACTTTACTTTTAGCTCTTTTAGCTTTTAAAATAATATGGCTTACCTTTCAGGCCAGTAATCTGGCTTGGTAAGTACTGTAGGACTGATGCCATAGAGAAGTGGTGTTGGTGGAGGTAAGGCATCTTCTGGGGTGATGTCGGCAAATGGACAGACAGGCAGACCAAGAGATTCACAGAACTCTCCAAAATCATCTAAAAACAACCTCCACATCCAGTGGTCAATGTCTCCATATGACACACAACCTTTTATCAAGAACAAATGAATTCAGTTCTGTGACATATACTCTTAGGGACAATCTTTAAGATGTTTCAAGCAAGATGGGGGTGTGACAGATGCACGAGGGACTGCTCACCCTGCTTAATGATCTCCCTGCTTAATGATCTCTTTATGATGTCCCCCAAGAAGGCTAGGATAGATGCATAAGTGACCATCCTTATGTCCCACTGGGGCTAGGATAGATGTATAAGTGACCATCCTTATGTCCCACTGGGGCTAGGATAGATGCATRAGTGAAAATCCTTATGTCCCAGGGGGCCTGGGACAGATGTATAAGTGACCATCCTTATGTCCCAAGGGGCCTGGGACAGATGCATAAGTGACCATCCTTATGTCCCACTGGGGCTAGGATAGATGCATAAGTGACCATCCTTATGTCCCAAGGGGGCTAGAATAGATGTATAAGTGACCATCCTTATGTCCCAGGGGGGCTGGGATAGATGCATAAGTTACCATCCTTATGTCCCAAGGGGGCTGGGATAGATGCATAAGTTACCATCCTTATGTCCCAAGGGGGCTGGNATGCATAAGTTACCATCCTTATGTCCCAAGGGGGCTGGGATAGATGCATAAGTTACCATCCTTATGTCCCAAGGGGGCTGGGATAGATGCATAAGAGCCAATCCTCATTTTGATGTCCAAAGCAAGGGGCTAAAGGGACCATCCTTATCATATCCCAAGGGGGCTGGGATACTTGCATAAGAGCGGATCCTCATTATGTTGTCCCAAGCAAGGGGCTAAAGGGACCACCCTTATGATGTCCCAGGAAGGGCTGGGATAGATGCATTAGAGGCTATCCTTATGATCTCCCAAGCAAGGGCGCTATTTAGATAGATGCACACAGAAGTAAAGAAAACTAAACGACTGAGAAAAAGTATCTGTCCATACCTGGTGGTGCTTTACTGAGTCTCTCATGGAGGTCTGGATAAGCCCCAAGGAACTTATTCTCGAATGTTACTGGAGGGGTTCTGTATAAAAAATATTATAAAGGCTGGTTTAGACGGTATGATTTTTCACCTACAACTATCGTATACAACACGCTCGCGCCATCCTACAACTCGAGTCGTACGTGTAAATTAAGCGTATGACTTGCCTACGACAGACGCGAGCGTGTTGTATGCGATAGTTGTAGGCAAAAATTGTAATGTCTAAACCAGCCTTAAGTAAAATGAATAAATTTTTAGGCTGGTTTTTACATGGCACTCTTGTCCAGTTGGCCATGCCCTCAATTAGATTTAAATATCTAGTTGTAAAGTTAATAAATAAATAATAATAAATAAATAAATAAGCTGTCCCCCATGCAAGTTGAACACACCAACCCCTATTTTTATGTCTATTTTATATGTATCATGTTAATGTTACCTGGTGACAGCAAATGGTGAGACGGCGACACAGGGCACCTTGAGGTATTGTGCAATAAACCACCCTTCACAGGCAAATAAATTAAAGACCACAGCATTAGCTCCTTTACAAGCCCTTAGACTTCCATGCATCTCCATGACTCTCTCTTGTCGATCGTCACTTGTGAATCCCTTACCATTGCTGACTTGCATCTAAATCAAATGTTAGTGTGAATTAAGATTCTTCTACTAAGAAACTTTGAGGTAAGTACGAGTGGAGTGTGCTGATAATGCATCATCACCTCTAGCATTTCTCTCATCTCATCATTGTTATAAACCCACCTTCTAAAATGGCTAAGTAATGAAGCAAAGTAGGATTACCAATTGCTAATTATACAATAGATTGTCTGATTTATCAGCATTTTTGAGTTTCTCATTGTTTTGTCAAATATTGTACAATGAAATAAGTGTCATGCTAAGTGTAAGATAACCACGATACWCAATATAGGATACTATGTATTCAAACTGAATGTTTTATAATTAATTATATAAGTTCTCACCTCAACCTTGTGTGGAGAATGCAAAGCTGCAGTCTTAGTCTCAGAAGGGTCATCTAACGACATGAACTCAATTCCATGCTTATCCAAAACATTTTCAAACTTCTTCTTGTGATAGTGGTGTGTGGCCAGGACACACACATCACTAGGAATTTTCTGCCTGGAAATAAAATGGGAAATGGGAAATGGGAGGATTAATTTATTATGTGGTTGATAAGTTGGTTATGTGTGTGTGTGTGTGTGTGTGTGTGTGTGTGTGTGTGTGTGTGGTTAAAGGATAGTGTGATTTTCTAATATAATAATAATAGTAATAACAGAAGCTATAGGATGCTTGCAAGATGCAAGATGGTGTCATTTAACTACGACTACCAAAATGCTTTGCAAATTTTCTTTGTAATTCAAATTTGAATTAGCTAATGAGAATAGTAAGATTGGTGCTAATTAACTGAACAAGAGAAAGTTAGTGTGCATGGGGTTCTGATAGTTGTTTACCACTCTTTTCATTGCAACGCTCGGATCGAGACAACAGTTGTGAAAGGGAAATGGCAATACACTTCCATCAATCAAATAAATTGGTCGGTACCTTTATGTTCTCTGATTGGTTGCAGTGTATTGCCCTATTTCCCTTTTTCGACTGTTGTCTTGATCAGCGCGTAGCTGTGTAAAAGGGTGGTAATGAATCCATAATGCAAGTGACCTATATCCTGCATGCAACACATTGAACTAACATGAATTAAGATGGTCTGCGGCACAGTTCAAGATATCTAATGTTCTGAACCCCATGCATTTCTTATACATTTGCATGAATATACATATGAATGGTCTTTGATTAGCTGCTAAGTACATCCCCACATGCATTCGGATTGATCTGTGAGCTTGGTGTTATATGTGTACAAGCATTGGACGAATTTATCAAAAATAATGAAAAGCCATTTAAATGCTACGCCACATCAGACATCAGTCAATATCGCACATTTCCCATGCACTCATGCGAAAACACTCTAGTGAATATGTTACCAGTAAACAGATAAAGTATATGGGAGTAAAAATAATTCAAATAATATGGAATATAGAATAATATTTTCATTCTTCTAGTAATTGCATTGAAATATGATAATTTTGCAATTAAAATATATATTAAAAACGAATAAACCATAGGTCTGGATCTTCAATTCTGCCGTAGTTTAGTAACAGCATGAAGTTTTGTAATTATTCGAGTTATACGTAAATTAACTCTAGCAGATACAACTATTAATAATATAAAGTCGTCTTGAAATTCGATACAAAAATCTCTGATTGCAATTTAACGGGTATGTAAACTTTAGTACATTCGATCCATATAATCAAGACGATCTTATTTTCTAATCATAATGTTTTTGTTTGAGTGTAAAAGTCACACGTCGTTTGTGTAATTGTTCTTGAATTCACACATTATTTGAAGCACTTTTTTATAATGAAAGTTTTGGAATCTATCGATTGTAATGATAAACATAATCTCCAGTTTTCAAATAGGATTTTTTTAACAGGTGTTTAGATTGACTTCTAGGGTACAATTTTAGCAGTTTTTTCAAAAGGAATGTCAACTTTTTAAGCCAAAAATGGCGAATATTTTAACACTGATGTTTTGTTTTCTCGAACCATCTTGAATATTTGCAGTCAAAAGTGCAATTGGAAAAAAAATGTTTTACTCACTTGTAGCCAAGCAGGAGAGCTAAAACTGGTCCAACGTCTCCTCTACTCCCTTTGCAAAGAAAAACGACCCTCATTTTGCGGGAAAATACGACGAACCCAAGGGTTTTTTTAGTACAAACAGAAGAGACGCAGCATCCATGCAGAACGATCAAAGCGGGATTCACTCGATGTGGAAAACGGGGGGAGGGGTCGGGTGAAGTCAAACCGACTGTGGGACTCGTACTTGGGCTAAAAAAATACAAAATGTAGAATAACTTTGTTTGAGTTCAATACTTCAGAACTTGATAAAATATAGCTTACCTCAGGGAGTAGCACTGCTATTTGTCTCTCAACTCAGGGAAAAAGATAAGAAAATTTCTCAACTTCACGTCGTCAGTTATTCGATGTTTACATCGATTGGGTTCCCTGTGTTGTGTACACGCGCCATCAGTAGTACAAACTTCACAAAGATGGTGTCTTTGTTACGACGCCTTGACAAACTTCTGTCTTTACAAGCAAAAATATCCCCAAAATACTTACTAAAACCCAGCCAGGTTCGATGGTTTGATGGACTTAGAAACACTCGAAGCATTCAGGAGATCAAAGACGATTACGATCATCACAAACGCAATATTTCAGGTATTTGATCAGAACTGAAACTCAAAATTGGACGAAATATTTTCCATTTTAGAAAGAAATGTTCATCACATAAGACTCAACTGTGTTAATATTTGACATATCTCTGTCTTTATAACTCAAGTGTCAAGGGAAGAGGATGTGAAAATCCATTGTTTTGGTTTTATGCTTTAAAATTTAATCACCATTTGTTTTTTTCTCGCTTTGATGCTTGGTTTTCAAAAAGTTTTCAATTATTAACCATCTCAGTCTTGTTTTATATCTCGCTATTTGAAACTATGGCTTGGTTAGCTTTGTTTGTCGAAGACTAGAGTTTGCTAGGATTTTGTTTATGCCCTAGCTGTTGTGAAGCTTGTGCATTGGCAAAGTTAGTGCATATGCCCTCTGTTTTGGTTTTAGATCCAGCCAGTAGTGGGCCCGCCCTAAGAGGAAAGATAAATATTCTCTTATCTGCTCTCAGAGTGTTTTGATGGTCCTGCATGATCATTGTATAACTCCTCCCAAGCATTGTGTTGTGGATGTCAATCAATATTTAGGAAGCCCTTGTCAACACAAGTGAAGTGAGTCCTGGGACATATTTGGGTCCCAAGCATTGTGTTGTGGGTGCCAATGAATATTTAGGAAACCCTAGCTTGTCAACACAAGTGAAGTGAGTCCTGGGACATGTTTGGGTCCCAAGCATTGTGTTGTGGGCGTCGATCAATATTTATGAAGCCCTTGTCAACACAATCAAAATATTTGTGAAAAGGCATTTTTTGTGCTTATATTTTGCATAAAAATGCATAATTGCTGTGTTAGTCTGATCACTACGTCAGACTCATACCCAGTTGTCACTCACGCTTTTTTAATGCGCGCGGTGGCTTTTGGGAAGGAGAGAGAAACAGGGAACTCACTAAATCCTTCCCATCAACCACAGCATGAGATCAATAAGACAAGGGAAGTGACTGGGTACAAGTCTATCCCTATGTTATACCACCACAGGCATTTCTTTTGGTCTTTGTTGCAGAGTCCTTCCAGCATACCATCAGGGATGAGAGAGGAATATTTGCCAACAATGAGCTCAGCCTCAAGTACATCGATGTCTATGGATTTGATTATGATTATACCCTAGCGTCCTACTCTGATGCTCTTCACTTCCTAATTTATGACTTGGCCATTGGTAATTTAATCAGCTTTTATGGGGTAAGCAATGATGCTTTGAGTATTGCGTTCTTAAAAAAGGCCCCTCCCCTCAGCTCAAGAGGATCTGGGACTGACAATAAAAACCTTATACATTGCTATTCTCCCTAGAATGTCAGTTGGTGCTATTTCATATCCTAGAGATAACGGCAATGGAAAGGTGCATTAAAAATTCAATCGCATCTTCTTTTTGGTGTAGCCATCCTCAATGACTAAGGTCTTTAACAATAATGCATGTGAAGGAGGCTGAAGATGTATGGAGCCATGTTCAAGATGGTAGTTTGAAATCGCATGGTCTTGATTACAATTCAAATTTATAGGTACGAGTGATGTTTTCAAAGTTTTCAAAATTGGACGAGCTTCTTGGTGAGTTCAATTTGAGACCTTTCATTAACATCACAGTATCTAAAAAAACCTAATTGTACGAGAAGATTGTTCAATTTTGTTTATAATACACTCAACAAAATTGAGCAACTTAATTGGTACTCTACAGAGTACAATTTGGGGTTTAAATATGCTCCTCTTGTCCAATCAGAATCAAGTAATTTTGTAGAGTGTATTATAAGGCATTGTGTTCACCATGACTTTAACATTTTAATGTTCTTTTTAGTACCCCAAAGGCGTTGAAGGAATGAAGTACAGACCAGATTATGCTGTTAGAGGACTGCACTATGACACAGCTAATGTGAGTAGTCTGACTTTTGTTGAATTGCAGCTTTACCTACACTGTCACAATATTAAGCAACTAAGACAAGTCAAGATGATTAGGTTTTTGGCTTCTATGCAGTTAAAATCAAGGGTGGTGTAGCAACGGTGAACTGCATTTTACCTCTGGGGTCTCTGGTTTGACTCCTTGACTCGCACGATTCAAGAGTTTTTTCCACTGACTCTCTGGTTTTTCTTTCTCCACAAAACTCACACGACAAATTCCATTTCATTTTTGTGAGTTAGCCTTGTCCTGACTTATCAGCCCTGAAGTTGTTCTGACAGGGGTTTGATCTGTGAGTTAGCCTTGTCCTGACTTTGATCAGCCCAGAAGTTGTTCTGACCAGGTTTTGATCTGTGAGTTAGTTGTGCCATGACTTTGATCAACCCAGAGTTCGTTTCGGGGTTTGATCTGTGAGTTAGCATTGCCCTGATTTTTATCAGCCCAGAGGTCGTTTCAGGGTATTAAATATGTTTAAAGGCTTCTAAATTACTCAGAACAAGAGCCCAAATTTCTGGAATTTTGGCTAGTTTTCTTGGTTGTGTAATAATGAAAATGGTTGTAAAGTTAGTTACAATGTTGCAAAATTACATGTATGATATCTTCAGGGTTTGCTGATGAAAATTGATGCCTTCCACAACATCATGCTTGGATCTGTGTATAGGTAAGGATTAATTAGAAATTGGGAATCAAGGGTGGTGTAGGGGTAGTGCACTTCCTTCTCGTCTATTGGGTCTCGGATTTGATTCCTTGGATCAGCTTAAATGTGATTAGATTGCTAGCGAAGCTGCATGCAGTGTAGAGAGGGGGACACAAGCAATATCATGGCTGCAGCATGCAATATTGAAGTACATGCTCTATGTAATATATCAATGAAGATTCTTTAATTCCTATACATTCAAGAGGTTTACAGCAAATACCAGATGAAGAGGTATTCAGGATATATGGTGGAATTCACCTGTCCATTTCTAAAATCAACCCAGATTTACACCTTAATGTAAGTACTAAAAGCAGAAAAGATGGTGGGAGAGGGGTTGGTTGTATATTTTAGTAGGCAATAAGTAATGTACACAGTATGAGTGGCCGTGTTGTATCAGATATACAACCACGAGGGGTAGCCGAGTGATTGTATATCTGATACAACACGGACATGAATACTGTATATGACTTATCAAACGTCTAGGTTAGTTCCTTTGTGTTTCACTAAAATTTTCAAAATTAAAGTGAATTTGGCCAAGAAAATCCAACTTAAAGTTTATGCAAATGAACATAGTTTTGTATAAGATTTACAACTCTCTTCACGGTCGTGATTTCTGTTGTGTTTTCCTCATGAATTATTAATGAGTTTGATAATTGTACTTTTATAGAACCTCCACAGAATTGTAGTTTTTTAGAACCACAGTGTAAACTACTGGATTGAACTCTGATATGTAATGTAAACAATAAGCTTCTTGATGAGACACTGCCTCTTGCTTTGCTATGATACAAAAGCAGTTGACTGTAACATGTAGTCCTACGCATGCATTACAGACCACATGGTTTAAGATTGACTTTTTAATGAATTACACACTTTGTCCACTTACTAAAGTCGTAATTTCCAGTAATTGTTTTTCAATGAAGATTTATCAGTAGTTGTTGCATCCTCTTAGACAAATCTACACATGAAAACTATGAAGATTAGTGTGTGTGTGGCTTCAGGGAGGTTGCAGTATTTAGTTTTATCATTTCATCTTTTGCCAAGATCTTTAGCCAGAACATGCCATGGTTATAAATTTGTGACTTGTCTTTGGCATTTCCTGGGCCCAGCTTACACATCACAGTTTTTTTACTTCTTTATTTCTTATATGGCCACTCAATTTTTATACTGAATTTTAGGAACTTGGACAAACAATGCACCACATGATTGACATGTTTTCCTATCCAGAGATGTGTCTACTGTCAAATGTTGCTGAGGTAAGTATTCACCCCTTATCTCCTACTACTCACTTTGCTTTAAAAACCTTGTAATTAATTTACATAGCTATACATATCTGATGAAGGTCGCTGTGACCTGATCAAAACTTAAAAATAAAATAATCAGAGACAACCCACTTCTTTTTATATATTAATATGCTTGACTACTAAATCTTCAACTCACCCACATTCTTATCAAATCCAGAGATAAAAAGATATAACTAGCTAAAAACTAGTGTGAGCTGCGTCGGTGTTTCTAATGAAACAGTAATGATGAAAAGGTAAATTATACACCGTGAAAAGATGA